ATGTTTATTGAAGTCAGATTTTCATTTGCAGTTACATAGAAGTCTCAGGCTCCAGTGTTCGTTGTCTATCAGTTTTAGAGATTTAGAAATAATCATTCCAAAGATTAGTATCAATGTATTTTTCGTTCTTTGAGAGATGTTCTGTGCTGTCTTCTCTGCAAACTCACTTTACAATCTAATGATGAAAAAACATAGTTGTGGCAGGCTCACATACATCTTTCCGATTGCCATGTGACAACTTCAACAGATGGTATCACAATGTGTACGCCGGACTTATATCGGCTGCGTATAAGAAGTGTTTCGAGCCACTGCTTTTTAGCTGTGCATAGCATGTTACTCTAAAACGTTCGATTGATCTTTGAGGTGACTGAGATGTTGAACATAGATAGTAAGGCGCTCCCAGATAAACAGCCAGCAGCAGATAAGAAACTGCTAGACTTCGGAGAGGATTAGCAACGTCTGGCCGTCTTTCTTTACTATATGGGACCGAGGTACAACATAGTAAAAAAGAAAATGTACAATGGAAATTTCACTTCCTCCCAAACGTCGTCGTTCTTTTCCAGCCGTCCTGGAAAAGAAAAAAGAAAATGTAAGTGCATGTCGAAATACACTCTTATGTGCGTAAAAACACAATGTCTGCGAAAAAATTGGAATCTAAACTAATTTACACGTAATATCGTTAAGAAAAATTTATAATGTTTTTTTGTTTCTTTTTGGAATAAAAAATAAAAATATATAAGCATATTAAAAAATTTTTAAATATTATAAATCGTAAAAAGATGGGTCAGGATAATATAAAATGTCGAGTAGTGCCTTACGTGCAGTAGTCGTTTAAATGTTCTAGAAATCTTACTCTTCTTCCACAACGCGTCGTTTTAAGTTTATTTTCAGGCACATTTGGGGTGTCATCGCTAATGTTGGTTGTCGGTTGAGGAATTATGAGTGGAGTCGTGTCGTTTGATTGTACCGAAGGAAAATCGACGTAGATAGGAGTTCCTTCTAAATACGCTGCTTTGAGGCGATTGATGCTGATGATACCGTTCGTTCCGTTCTTATCGATTATATAGTACTTCGGTTCGTATTGAAGAACTTTGAAAGGTCCTTCATATGCTGATTCGAAAGGTCGTCGATGCGAGTCTCGATGAATGAAAACGTGTGTACTATATCGTAAGTCAGGTTGAACGAAAACATCAGTTGATTGAGGTCGAGTGGAAGCAGGTTTAACTGAACGCATTGCGTTTGTAAGCCTGTTCGTGTAGAAGGTTAGATCCATGTTCACTGAAGAGGACGAAGGATCCACGAATTCTCCTGGAAGTCGAAGTGTCGTTCCATAAACGAGTTGAGCCGCAGTGTATCCAATGTCAGCTTTCACTGCATTGCGAATACCTAGTAAGACAAGTGGAGGAGCATCGGTCCACTGTGAAACGTTTGCAGCTGATAGTGAAGCTTTTAGTTGTCGGTGAAAACGTTCTACCAACCCGTTTGCCTGTGGGTGGTAGGCGGTCGTTCGGAATCGAGTGATTCCTAAAAGTGTGGTCAGACGACGGAAAAGTTCGGATTCAAACTGACGTCCGCGATCTGTAGTGATGGTTGAAGGGCAGCCGAAGTTTGCTACCCATCGTTCGACGAAGGTGCGGGCCACTGTTTCAGCAGTGATGTCCTTGATAGGTACTGCTTCTGGCCATCGAGTGAAACGGTCTACGCAGGTTAAGAGATAAGAGTATCCATTTGAATCTGGTAAAGGTCCTACCAAATCCAGATGAACATGGTCGAAACGAGCATCGGGAGTTTTAAACGAGCCTAAGGAACATTTATTGTGTCTGATAACCTTAGATTTTTGGCAGCTTACACAGGAGCGTGCCCACTTCCTCACGTCTTTATTCATGCCAGGCCAGCAAAACCGTTCTGCTATAAGTTTGATGGTTGCACGGACACCGGGAAGAGAAAGGTTGTGCAATGCATTGAAGACATTGCGTCCATAATGTTTCGGGACGATCGGGCGATTCCTACCTGTCGATTCCTTGGAAACTGTTTAGGGAGGTTGTGCGAGACAAAGCGTCAGCAACTACATTGTTTGCTCCAGAGATGTGTTGAATGTCTGAAGTAAACTACGAAGTGTAGTTCAGTTGTCGAGACTCACGGGGAGAGTACTTGTCAGAAGGAGAGCTTAACGAGAAAGCGAGCGTTTTATGGTCAGTGAAAAGAATGAATTCCCGGCCTTCGATATAGTGTTGGAAATGCTGTACAGCACAGTACATAGCTAGGAGTTCCCCACCGAATGTGCTGTACCTCGATTCGGTGTCTAGCAACCTTCTAGAGGAAAATGCCAAGGGTTGCCAAGAGTTGTTAACCCATTGTTGTAAGACTCCTCCGATTGCTGAGTCGGATGCGTCTACTGCGATACTAATGGGTGCTTCGGTGTCCTGATGTGCGAGCATTGTTGCTTTAGCGATCAGAATGCTTTTCATGCGGTGTCGTCCAAATTAATGGATTTCACATTTTCACGAAGTTGGTCGGTTAGCGGTTTCATGAGTAATGGGCATTTCGGTATCAAACGTCTATAGAAACTTACAAGGCCGTTAAACGTTCGTAATTGCTTGACGGTGGTCGGTTCTGGGTAATCCAGAATGGCCGCCACTTTGGTCCTAAGGGGTCGAATGCCTTGAGCATCGATAGTGTGTCCTAGGAAGTCTAACGAGTCGGTCTCGAATGGCATTTCTGAACGTTTACAGTAATGCCATGTTTTTGTAGTCGTTCGAAAACAAGATCCAGATGCTTGAGATGTGATTCTCTGTCCGGACTTGCGATTAGGCAGTCGTCAACATACGCATGTACGAAGTTGAGACCTCGAAAAACGTCGTCTATGAATCTTTGGAATGTTTGAGCAGCATTTCTTAGACCGAAAGGCATTCGCAAAAATTCATAGAGTCCGAAGGGAGTTATGATAGCTGTTTTCGGTATGTCGTCTGTGGCCATAGGGATTTGGTTATACGCTTTAACCAAGTCGATTTTCGAAAAGACAGTTGTACCTTTCAAGGTAGCTGTCAAATCGTGAATATGAGGCAACGGGTAACGATCAGGAATGGTTTTTGCATTCAATTGCCGATAGTTACCAGTTGGACGCAACGGAGATGCATATGGGCTACTTGACGGTCGTATGATTCCTAAGTCTATCATATGGTCGAACTCGTTTTTCGCTAACCTTAGCTTTTCAGGAGCTAGTCGTCGTGCTTTAGAATACAGGTGGTCCTGTAGTCGTGATGTGATGTGTAACATTGCTGGTTACACACGGTAGTTTCGGTTGCGTTTGTTGTATCCCAGGGTACTTATCGAGTAGTGGTTGATAGAGTGGGTCTATCATATGCTTAACTGTGACTGGGGATACTCTGCAACCAGTAAAAGAAGTTACGCAAACGGACAAATTAGTGTTTCCGTCTACTAGCCTCCGTTTGCGAGTGTCGATGATCAGATTGTGGTGTTGTAGAAGGTCCATACCAATGATTGGCATAGAAACATCTGCAACAACGAAAATCCAGTGGATGGGTTTGCGTAAACCCACGTTAAGGTAAACGTACCTTTTGCCATACGTAGCGATCGGTTTTCCGTTTGCCGCCTGTAAGTTTAGAGTCGATTCGTGAAGTCGGTCGTTAGGATTTGCTGGGAGAACGCTAACTTCTGCGCCAGTGTCGACGAGGTAGCGAACTCTCGTTGTCACATCTGTGACGTATAACAGACGGCTTGTTCGCCGGCTACGGTTGCCGTTAACGCGTGCCGGCTTGGAAGTTTCCCGAATTGTTTTTCGAGTCAGTCGGTTTCGTGTTGGGAAAATTGCAGGGTTTTCTGCAATTTCTGGAAAACTTTCCATACTGGTTATGATACCAGCACCAGTCGGGGTTATCTGTCTCTCGTGGTCTAGAGACAGATCGCTTACGAGAAATGCTTCTACGTGGTGTGCGCGATCTCTTACGGTCGGTACGAAGACTAAGATAACGCGTGAGTGTGTGACATAAGTCGGTTATGTCATTCTGAGTCGTGTGAGGCTTTTCTTTGACTGAAAATACCTCGGTAGTAGAAGGTTTCGTAATTTCTAGAATGCGGTCGGCAGATGCAGCTAGTTCGTCTAAGGCGTTGTTCTGGAACGAGACCAGAACTGCTTGCACCTGTTGGGGAAGTTTTGACAAGAAGAGTTGTTTGAATAGACCTTCGTCGAAAGTTCTTGGGCCTATAACCTCTCTCATCCGTTGCAACATGTCCGTCGCAGAACCGTGTTGCAGGTCGATGTTATTGAAGAGTTGATCTAACCTTTGTCGATCGGTTAGGTCTCCTCGTTTAAGAATCGAGCGTTTTAAGATTTCGTAAGGATCGGAAACATCACTAGTAAACATACTAGGTGTTACGTACCTGTTGAATTCCGCGGTAGTGCCTTGACTACTGCGAGGAATTGTGCACGTGTGTCGATCACGCCGTGCTCGGGAAGTCGGCTTCTGCGTAGCAAAACCAGGCTTCGATGTTGTCGGGCCAGAAAGGCATCAGTTGAAACGAAGGTGGGGACAAGGTCTTAAGCTTGAGTACTTTAGGTGTCTGTTCAGTCATGATGAAATATGAAGTACGATAATGAACGAGGGGAAAATATATATATCCAAGAAAAAACACGAAAAAAATCACAATGTTAAAAAAATAAAAAATAAGGCAATGATATATAAAAATCCCAAAAAGGAACAGACTCACAGTTGCAATAAGGTGTACCAGATCACGACGGTCTCACCAATGATGATGTCACAGGTATTCAGTGTTTGACAACGCTTCTACCAGTAACACCTAATATATTTCGTTCCCACCAAGAGAAATCAAAAGACAGAGTCGAGGAGATCGGAAGAGTATATTTGGCGATGGCCAAAATATCGGAATTCTCTGATCTAATCTGGCTAGCGATTGCGGTTGATGTTGAGCACGGCGTTACCACACGTGATCTGGTGCGGATGCCTGACCGAGCGCCTTCAGCTAGATGAGTCCACTAAAACATATGGTCAGCATCCAATGTCGAAAACTTACAGAGCTATTTATTTGGGGGATTTATTTACCGCTACACGGTCTTAGGGATTTTGTAGACTCGAGCGGAGACCGGCTTGTTCAAAATGAGTTGTACAGTTAGGGGGAAGCCGAAGTCAGGCCGTACTTGGAAAACAGTTCGTACTGCGAAGTAAGCACACTTTTCTAGCAAGGTCAAGACCGTCATGTCTTATTTGTCACACCGTCTTTTTTCTTATGACTTTGTGCCAGTTGATATAAACTGGATTTAACCAAATCTCCCTATTTTGGGTAAATTTTGGAGAAACCGCAATAGTAGACTTCGAGAAACGGCACAAAATTCCGAAACTTCCTCAGGATGGGGAGATTTCCAAAATTTTTGGGAAAACTGGGTTTTCCGCTATATTTCCGCAGAATCTTATGACACTAAGGGAAACTACCATATTTCTTACGACTTTGGAGAAAACCCCGAAATTTATTCAAAGTTCCCCAAAATAAGGAGGTTGGGGAAGGTGGATTTTTAGTGGGAGTTCACGAGATGCTTGAAATTACCAGTTAGTGACTTGGTGATGTGGTTAAAAACCAGTCACGGTTATACGAAATCATCCATCCTCCACCTTCTAGTATTAATTGCTCCATTATCCTGTAGTTCTGGTTGCTAATTTTCCCCCTTTCGTTTCAGGCTTCAGTTGTCTGATATTTCCATCGCTTTTTCTCGTCAAATTTCTTTTCTGTTCTAAAATTTAGCAAGTTACCCGCCAACATTTTTGTCAGCTTATGTGTTGCTTTTTGCTTAGTTACCCAATTTTCTTAGTCATACTGGACTGGCCACTTATTTTATCCAGGTTGGGCTACTGAGAAATGAAATGAGTGTATAATATGGTTTTAATTGTTCATCTGAGTATTTCTGAATCCTTAATTACATAATATTGCAAGAAACATTTATCTCATTACAATGTTGTGGAGGTAATTGCTAGTTTCTAAACATATCAAAATTTTCTATCTACTAATTTACACAAATAAATCAAAGCTACTCGATTTGTGACGATTGTATCGGTCGAGCAGAATGATGTGACCAACAAATTCGAGTATAACTGTGTTGGTGACAGTTGTTCATCGATGCGACTAAAACTGTCTATTAAATTTTAACAGTGATGTATACGCTGTTGGTTCGAAGGTCCTGAATCCCAAAATGCGTAAACGTATCACTAACTAAGAGTCACGTGGCTGGTCCTGGTTCCTGACTTTCATTACTTTTTAGATTGCTGTTAATAAGTTTTTACTAACTTATTTGGTGGGACAAAACAATTAGTTCCAACACTCATAATCTTCAGTCCGAGAAGTCCACCCATAAAGTTTGAACGTTAATCTACAATTCGAATCAGCATCCACTAATTTCGTAAACTGCTACCATGTTTTAATTTATTCGTCCTTATCTTTGATCATATTTCTCACGTTATTGTATGTAGTAACTTGATATGCTTATTATGTTTCTCAGCTGCTTGATTGGGTGGAGATTCACAATCATGCCTAGTGAACTGTCCATTTTTCCTAAAAAATTAGCACTCAATCTCTCTGGTTGATCATTGTATTCATTATCTGAAATGTATCAAAAGCGATCAGATATCTTTGGACAAGCATGCTTCGCAACCAAAACACGAAGGATTTTTGTCTTGCTTACTTAAGGCTTGATTTAGATCTAAATGAATCAATTGGCTTTTAAGTAGTGTAGACTATTGAGTACAAAACAGCTCTTTGTCTAGATTTTGTTCATCAATTTCCCATCAGTTGCCCTAGTCCCTGAATAGATAAAGTCGTCTGTATGACCAGATACTCTATTCTTTATTTCAGGAATATGTATCGATACAGACCGTTCCAAGAAATCCTACGATTTTAAATGCAAAACATGTCCTAAACTAGATCAAATTTCTTCCCAATATCCCATGATATTATCAGTTTTTTCGAATGACAGAAACATGTTTTGTACTTCGTGTCATTAAGCAGATCATTAAGCTAAAAACAGTGTCTGTGACAGTAAAGCTGGCATAGATACAATAAATACTTTAAAATCTTTCTTTGATTGGTTTGTTTATATACGCTACGTACCTCAGTAGATTTCGATTTTGACCATAAAATCCTAAAGAATTCTGCAACAAAAAGTTTCCGGACAAGTTGATGACTTTTAATCGACCTATAAAAACATCATCATTACATACTAATTAAGTAGATGTGCTTTTCGAAGTATTGTATGAATACAATACCGAAATTTTCTGTTTAAAGGTTCAGCATATTTATATTGTAATTATTGTGAAGGACGTTAATAGTTAAAGCAATTGACTACCAACCACTATGTTTGATGTAGAAGCCCCACTTCACAAACGTATGTCTGAATAGTTAAGTTCTATCACTAGACTTATTCTTATTTAGGACATAAACATTGAAATAACTATACTTCACACGCTAGTTAAGGAAAGTAGTTATGAAGAGAGAAAAAATATAAACGAAAGGAAACAACCGTTACATAAAAGTGAATCAACCAAGTACATAAATCTGTACTGTTTGTGTTACATCAAGAATTAATGATTATGATGTCTTCATTCTTTTTCGATTTTCTTTTGGGATTTCACATTTTAATGAAGTAAGAACGACAACGAAAGCTGCATAACTTTGAATAAAGCGAACTAATTGTATGAATTTTTTTTCATTTTAGATTTAATCTTAGGTGTTATTACTTACATTTATTATCCTATCAAACTAAATCGATTCGTTAATGATTTAAATTTAATTTACACGTACTAATTTTCACGAAAGTAGTTCTAGCTGGTACTAACAAATGCTCTAGTACGGCCGAGAGTGGGGAGAGTCAAATCTCCCTCACAAAAGGCTCTCATATAGCCACGTTCATGCAGCCACTGACAGGGAAATCCTACTCACTACCTTCTCTCGACGATGGTGTCGTTTACGAAATCGACAGGATAAGTAGCGAATCTCTGGCTCTTAAACGGAGTTGGTGGATATAAAGAATTCATCTAGAGAAGTTGGAATATCCTGATTCCAAACCAATGGTGCACATGGGCTCCAGTATCCTAAGGGAATAAATGGCGTATAAACCTATTTTTGGTCATCGGCTACCATGTGGCTGCATCTTTTAACGTTGCTCCACTGTCTTGTGGATTAGACCTTTCTGTTAAATGCTCAGAGTGTGCCGCCCTAATAAAACCATCTGCTTTGGTCTGGGCACCCAAGAAGTACGTATCACAACCCACACACAAATCAAGTGACTTGCGTGGCGCATATTCATTCTGTGCTTTTTTGTACCAACGTTTATGTATTTAAATAAATAAATACTAACAAAACTTTTTAGTTGAATTCAATATTAAAATTTCAGTCATATATTGTGTCAAATGAAAAAAGGTAAATTAATTGGAAATAATTTACATAAAAAGATTATAATACATTAATATGTATTGCACTTGTTCCTAATTTTATGGTGAAAATATTGTTTCAACAGTTCAGATCATGAGACAATTGAAGCTAGACCACCATGGAAAACCTTGAAGCACTGGACGGCCGTTTCGTCCTATTGTGGGGCTCCTCAGCAGTGCGCATCCACGACCCCGCCTCGCCAGATTCGAAACCAGGATCTATCAGTCTCAGGCGCTTAGGAGTCCCATACTAGGACAAATTGGCGGTTCAGTGCTTCTAGGTTTTCCATGATGGTCTAGCTTCAATTGACTCATGATCTCAACTGTTAAAATTACTACAATCTCCACAAAACCCCGTCTGAAAATATTATTGTTCATACATTTATTGATTTTCGTTTTAGACACAGTGCAATTAAAAAAGACAAAGGTATACGTACATCATTTCAAGTTCGTAGAAAAATTGAAGCAGAAATTAAAAAAATTCGTAATGAATCTATTGAACGAAAAAAAGCAAAAGATGAATTAAAAAGAATGAAACGTTTAAAAGAAGAAGAGAAACATCAACGTAAATTAGAAAACGAACGTCGTTCAGAAATTGTTATACCAGTTAGTGACTATACTCAAATGATTATATCCTCTGTGTTACTTTTTTTAGATAACAAACCCGGCAAAACTAAAACGTTTACGAAAAAAACAAATGAGAACAATTGTAACACGATGAAGAAGAAGATTATTTTTGGCTATAATAAATTTCAAAATATAATACTTTTGTATGTTAATTTATTTGTTGGTAAATTGAGATTGAGTTATCAACAAAGTTTATGCCCATAGTCCTAATTAGTATATATAGAACACTACACTTACTCCTGTTACTCGTGAAAAAGCATAGGCCGCTCACCAGCATTCTCCATCCAACCCTGTCCTGGGCAATCCTTTCCATCTCCTTCCAGTTTTTATTCATCCTTTTCATATCAGCTTCTATTTCCCGACCTAATGTGTTCTTTGACCTTCCTCTTTTCGCCTTCCTTCAGGATTCCAACTTAGTGCTTGCTCGTAATGCAGTTTGGCGATTTGCGTAATGTATGTCCTATCGATCTCCATCGTCTTTTCCTAATTTCTTCTTCAGCTGGAAGCTGGTTTGTTCTCTCCCACAGAAGGCTGTTGCTAATGGTATCCAGCCAATAGATGTCGAGTATGTTGCGTAGACAGCTATTTATAATTACTTGTACCTTCTTGATTGTGGTTGTTGTAGTTCTCCAAGTTTCAGCTGCGTACAGTTGAACTGCCTTGACATTCGTATTGAAGATTCTGACTTTGATATTGGTTTAAAGGTGTTTTGAGTTCCATATGTTCTTCAATTGTAGGAATGCGGCCCTTGCTTTTCTAATCCTCGCCTTACGTCTGCATCTGAACCTCCTTGTTCATCGATGATGCTTCCCGGGTATAGAACACTACAACTTGTAGTCAAAATACAACGATCAAGTTCATATCGTCTGTTAAATAGTGTCTGTCTCACTCGAATTATGATTTTAAATGTTTTATAGCTCTTTGTGTTTTTTTATTAAGCTGACTGATTTCTTAAACTTGAACGGTTTGATTGTTATTTTCAGTACCCTTATCATCCTTCAAGTGTAAGTAATTAATACAAGAAGGCTTAAGTTTTTCTTCTATTCTGATGTACTCGTCTTCATATTCACTGTCGTCAGTCCCACTGTCTTCTGGTCAATTTTTTATAGTAACTTATCATATAATGTTGACTACAGATAATGTAGTCACATACTTACGCCTCGGTTTTTGTAACTCAACTGTAGGAGTTTCATTTATTTTGATGTGTATCTTCAAACAAAGTTCAAGAATATCTGATTTTATTTCAGAGGTTAGTTTATCGAAGGACACATTTCGGTGACTAGTTTCGTCACAGACTAACATCAACTAAAAGACCATTACAAAGTAGGGAACATGGTGTGAGTGTATTTTCATTGTCCAGGGTTTTTTGTAATTCATACCTATAATCTTAGGTGATACAGAAGTCAAACTTTATTGTCTAGGTTATAAAATTCTTCCCGACTGTGGCTTCTAACTTGACTTGGTGTTCGTGCTTGCCTACTGTGATGACTCAACCGAGCTACATTGGCTGGGACACATCTTCCTTCGGTCCCTGACATTCCAGACAGATAGGTAGGAGGACGGTTAGACTAAAAGAAGAAACTTAAAGTCTTGGGGTGAAGTCATATTGATGACTACAGGGCATTGTCATAGTAGTGAGACGTTTTCCTCGGAAAACCAGTATCTGCGACGATGCCGTCTTCTCACAATGGAAAGTAGGGGTTACAGAAGGTTGACCCCAAATTTGTCACACCTCACCTTGACCCACGGATTTTTGTCTGGCGGTAAGGCTTTTTAAGCGCTAAGGTGACAGAAACGTCTCATTGAAAAACCGCATGTGACTGGCCTCGAGCAGTTGTCCCTTCTAGCATATCTTTATCATCGCGCACCACGTCCAACTCTTTTATTGACTATTACCCTAGTTGGGCTCCAGAAGAAGTTAACCTAAAGTGGTATCGTATTATAAAATGTTCGTTAGAATTAAATATTTGAAGTTGCGTAATTATTCAACAGCTAATGAAAAAATATTGGGATGAAGATTCTTGACGGTTAAGTGCTAATTATCCATCTACGAAATACGAAGAACAGGAATATTAAACGTAAAAATAATTAGAAAACGATAGATCGTGGAAGATAGAAAGTGAAATTAAGACCACGGTAGGATAATGGACTGGACATACTGTTTTTTTACACAGAGGTTAGATTTACTAGATAGCCAGAACCTTTAGTTCATAAGTCTTGAATTTGTATTCCTTTCGAACCCAATTTTTTAACTGTATGAATAATTTTGAGAAAGGATTCTGGTAAAGTAGCATCACTAGAACTGACTAGAAGAGTTATTGATTTTGTATTATAGTATCTTGAAGACGCATTATATTGAGTTTCGATTAGACAATATGATAGAATCCAATCAGAATAGAAGATATTGTCTAACATCTTTGTCCGTAGATTGAAATTATCTCGTGACCTTAAATTAGAATGTAGATTTCTTTAAATACTGTTCAACATATTTACAGTTCATTATTTCTTAGACGGATCCTATATTGCATTTGACGAAAATTAATACTAAGTGAGAACTAAATCATCTAGTTGGCCCCAAATGCGCTGGTACGGCCGAGAGTGGGGAGAGTCCGCCCTCCCTCCCGAAATGCCCTCACATGGCCACGCGTATATAGCCTCTGCCAGGGAAGTCCTACTCACTGCCTTCTCGTGGCGGGGTGTTGTTTACGAAAATGAGAGGACGAAAAGCGAATGTCCGGCGCTTTAACCGGATTCCAAACCAAATCAATGGTGCACATGGGCTCCAGTATCTTGCGGGAACGAATGGCGTATGAACAAATTGTTGGTCACCGGCTTCCATGGGACTGCATCTCCTTGCGATGCTCCACTGCCTTGTGGATCAGACCTTCAGGTTGAAGGCTCGGAGTGTGGCCCTCCAAGGAAACCACCTGCTTCGATTTGGGCACCCGGGTAGTACCACGGCCCTCGCACATATCGAATGAGATTTGTGTGGTGCATATGTATTTGGTGCCTCCTTGTACCAATGTCTATGTGTTAAAATAAATAAATCATCTAGTTATTTATCTGTTTAATCGAAATCTTACTTCTCATGAAAATTAGTATTAAACATAGTTACTATCGTATACATGAAATACTTTTGATATGGATTGGTCCTATTCCCACCTTTGAAGATTGAACATCCAAGTTTACCTTGATATTTTGTAAAGTTTGTTTTCATATTATATAACTTCACTTCTCATATGTCTAACTACAAATATAGCTATCCGGCTAAAAAGTGTTTACTAATAATGTGTCCTATGTAAGAATATATTGAAACCAGTTATTTTGACTAATCCATTTAATTTATGCTATCTCAGCAAGCTGTAGTTTCGGTTACTATGTTAAACCCATAAAACTTATTCTAGCCAGTTTATTCACTCTTCTTAAGCTATATTTTGATCTTGTTAATTATTCACTTATCAACCTTGATTGTTTTTATATAAACATATGTATGTTCACTTCTTATCTCATTCATCACATATCTGTAGCTTATTTTTGTGTCACTATAAATATCGATTAACATTTGAGTAAATGATGTTGGCTCATGTCTTAACCGCACATCATTTCGCTTCGCTCTTGCTTGACTTATTTAATTCCGTTATTCACCAATGCCGATTAAGTTGATGAAATATACGAGGATCGGTGACATATATATATTTCAATAACAATCATTCATACAATCCAATTGGAGTCAGATATAGGTCCACTAAAAGGCTATTCAAAAAATAGGAATACATTTAGTGATAAATGATTATATCGACCGTTCTTGTATTCATGTTATCCGTATATCAAACCAATAGTGAAGTAAAATAAAGTTTGAGATGTATGATTTTGCTTTTCTTGTAAGTGGTCATACTGTATGCTGTGCGGATTGATTTGATCATCGGTTTTTGTCTGAATTATGTCGAGGGCACAATTTATGAACGAGCGAGTCACAAGCGTTTGAAAGATTTCAGGGTCATGGCGCCGATTTCAGTACCTGATGCTCACGTACGATTGGTTCACAGCGGATTTTAGAGAAAACGTAATAATTGATTGAGGTAATCAAATGACTTGTGGACTTTGTGCAGATTACTGTGATGATGTCTTTCAATGTAATGTGTATTGGAGGAAGAAGTCTGCTAGAGTAGGCTTTTTTTGCTCGATCTAGATTAACATTAAGGCAAATCATGACAATTGTTACGAGCTGGATAATAAAAGTACCAGTAACACTGGCTACAGCTAGGTACTACAATATATACGGATAATTGGAGAGGTACAGATGCCTACATAGACTTAGTTATTTGCATCGTGTTGTTATCTACAAGCGGCATTTTATGAACTTAACAACTGGAGTTCACACTAACAATATTGACTTATGTGGTCGAGGCTGAAAGAGCTTTTGCGTCCTTTTCATGGCTTCAGGGCCCGACAATTTTAGAACCTCTGAAGCTCTTTCTAACCTTGACAAGATTTCGAACCATATAAAAGAGGTGTATACACTTTAATTTTTTGGTGTTTTATAGTATATTCTCACCCCATATTGATTGGCTAATGTTTCTCAAGGTCACATAAGATTTGTTCAAAGGTCGTCCATAAATTAATAGTCTCACTTGAATTGTTAAATGAGTATATATAATTCAAGATAAAATGTACCTGAGGTGCAGGTACATTCAGCTGACGAGTCCCAAATAGGACGAAACGCGCGTCCTGGACCCCACTGCTAGACACTATCCATCATTGCTTACAAAAAACATACTGATAGTTTCAAATATGAAAATTGAATATAGATAAAGAATTATATTTAATCATGTGAATAAATTGAGAGAAAATTATTATTATGATTAACATAACAGATTGTATATTCATATTGAATATTTGGCTTTACACTAGTGTTTACTAGGCTTTTAGTTCCAATTCACGGCATGGGTAGGCGAATAACACGGTAATGAAGAGAAGCATTAGTTCTGCCAAGATTGCAACTGCACACTACGAACTAGACAAATATGATATTAGTTACTAAATTGTGACTAATTAAAATATAGACTTGATCTTATAATAATGTACTTGACCTAGTAAAGTTTACATTTCGTGAGATTGCCACTATAATGAAATATGTTCAAAC